ATAATTAAAGTATGTAAAGTTTTTTTGTCAGGTTGTTCTAATACTTATTAAAATCTGATTTCATAGAAAATATTTGTGATACCTATTCAAATGCTTGCTCGGTAATACAGCCGTCTCTTTTCCTCGTGATCCGTACCTGCTATATTGCTAACAGTGCATTCATAATTGCGCGTAGAGTCAAAGAAATAAGGTCTATATCCTTCCGCATATAGCAATGTAGTAAAAATTTACGAGCTTGCATATCGGTCTGTCATAACTCTTTGATGCATGCGTTTTAATTAAGACTGTATGCATTAAAGTCGACTTTTAATGTTCAAATAATGCCTTATATTATTTTTGACTACGCGATCATCAAAAGATGATCATCGTCATCTTTTGGACAGCTTTCAAGCACAATTTTGTTCGTGCTGGTGTATTTAGGGTATTTAATATCGTTGTATTTAATATATAAATTGACATTTATCATCTATACATTTTTTTTGTATTGGTCAGTGCATTTATCGAGGAAGGGTACGGCCACAGTGCACGTTGGTTCAGATTCAGACTTAGAAAACAAGCGCGAGAAATAAACAGTGTAGTTTAAGCAGGTTGCCTGCTGCCAGCAGGCAACTGGTTGCCCGCGCAGGGTTCGGAGTCAGAGACTTTACCGGATTGTTTAGGTCATTCTTGTTTCAGATAATGAATTCACCAGCGCCGCTCGGACTGCAGGTTATAGTTGTTTAAGTAACCTTTTCTTGGTTGTGTTATAAACAAACATTTACCCCCTTATTATTAATCAAGGAATGAGCTTAGACTAGTTACGCCGTGTTTTGTTCATGTCACTTAAATGCCATTTGTCATTCAATAGACAGAGACAAAACATGGAGTAACTAATCCAAGCGAAGTCTTCGTTTATTAATAAGGGGGTTAGTGCCTTGCTTCTTCTTTGCGTTCTTCTCTTGTTTCTTGATTTATATTTTAGAATTAATATAACGAATAAAGAAGCGCTTATTATAGCGCGCAAAAGTTTTTCTTAACCCTGCTGTATGGGATAAAAGAGATAGAACCATTCAAATAGGAATGTCGTTGATAGGTGCTGGCAAAATATCGCTGGAGAAACTCAGACCAAATAAAAAGTAAAGACGGCGTCTGTCGAACAAAAAAGTGAAGCCGGTTTTTTATGTATGTAGTGGATTAGCCAGTGTTACCATAGTCATTTATAATACCCCAATATTAGAAAAATGTAATAACGTTATTTCATAACGTTATTAATAACGTTATAAAATGTTAGAAAAACTATCGGATGCTTATCTCTAAACTAGTCCAGATTAGTTTTACACTATCGCTAGATCCAAGCTCTCGTGAGCCAAAGGTCCTGCGCTTGGAGATCTGGGGTTCCTGTGATTTTTAAGTTTAATAACTGTTACACTAATAAAAGTTTACTTAAAAAATATATAATAAAAACAAAACTAACCTTTGGAGTTTTTGGCGGGATTTCATGGAGTGCGGTTAGCATCATATTTTAATTATACTTTAATTCGTTCATAGTGAATATTGTGAAATAAAATTGGTGTAATTTTGTGTTTCAACCTGAATGTTGAATCTTTAAAATATAAATTAACCTAAGTAACCATATTAAGTTAAGTAAAAAAATACCCGTGGATATGCATTTTATTTTACACGACGTAACCCTTTTGTTGTGGTGTAGTACAAATCGTCGCTCTGAAAATGAGACGAACAAACCACGCTGCGAGAAGCTGGTTGCCACAATGGTTCATTTCTACTCTTACGAATGACTGCAATCCACTGCTCTTTTAGATTTTGATCTCGATTAGGAAATCGTAAAAGAAACGTATAATATATAATGTGAATTACATCCCAAAAAATTTATACGAATACATAAAGAAAAAAAGATAATAAAGATGTTCCGTGTAATTGTTTATCCATGCATTACAATATTCGAATAATATAAAAGTATGCTACACATTGTATTTAATAAAATAACGTTACGTTATTTACATTTTTTATTATTGACGTGACAACGTCTTAAATTAGGTTGCGGCTGGGAGTCACTTATGAAAAAGTGTAACGCTCGGTAACGTTACGATGAGTCTCTCGTGTTAAGTTTAAGTTTACATGTACAATGTTTTAGTAAACAAAATATATTTCTATAGTTAAAATTTGTGCAATTCTTATTTTCATTCAATTCCTTGTTCCTATTGTGCAATTTAATTATATTCATATCAATAAATATTCTACCGAGAAAAAGACGTTGTCACGTAAAATCTTCGCCCGTAAAACCGACTTTACAGGCAACCATTTTTTTTTTAAAGCATGTAACTGCTTGATGTTTAAATCTAAAGAAAATATAACTAGAAAAAAATCCACACGGACCAGGCAGTAGACGGGACTCGAACCTGCACCCTTCGCAAACCGGGTGAATGCACTGACCAATTATGCTACCGCGGCCCTCACGGACCGCGTCGAAATTCTTCTAGCCATTCTTAAGTGCAAGGCAGCGCCATCTCTTCGCATTATAGGTAACCCACAAAGTCAAATGAATACTTTTACAAGTACTAAACAAATTTCTAGTTATATTTTCTATAGATTTAAACATCAAGCAGTAACATGCTTTAAAAATAATAAAAATTATAACGTTACGTTATATTTCACGCTACCCAACAAAAGGGTAAAACTGTAACGTATAATCATGGCAGCATTTCGTTCAGGTTTTGTTTACAAAGCGACAACCTCAAATTTGATTTTGATTAATTGAAAATATTAGTTTATAACTTTAATTACGTATGAAATGTGATTCCATCCTGTTTTTTATTCTTGGAAGACTGGTTTCTACACGTTTTCACTACACAATTCGGCATTTTCTCTAATAAATATTGTTTTTTATTATTACGCCACACTCGCTTCTTTACTTTATATTTGATCTGAGTGGAGAAATGGGTGTTGAAGGTAAAGAAATACGCTTTTCTTGTACTCTCTCATTGATTCTCTCTCTCGTTGTTCTTATTTTTAATACAATTTATTATATTATATTCTAGAACGCGTATAGTGTCGTAATAATTGTTGCAGAAACAACAGGCAATATATACCTCATCATCATCAACCCTTGCTCGTCCACTCTTGAACATAGGTCTCCCCCAATGTACGCCACTGCTCCCGATTTTCGGCCACTCTCATCTAGCCCGCCCCAGCCAGCCTACGAATGTCATCATCGCATCTTGTCTCAGGGCGTCCTATATAGGGCTGCCATCCGTCCGGCTTTCCCCGGATTTGTCCTAGTTTACGGGGCGTCCGGGGAGCGTCCGGGCGGGGTTTCATTTGTCGTCCGGGTTTAAAAATTTCCTGTTTTGGGTTGCCAATTAATCCGTCAATTTAAATGTCTTTGAAAATAAATAAATCTATTCTAACACTGTAACCATAAATGCTGACTTCCAACAAAGATCAGCTTTGTCGCCCATACTGTCCGCAATAACAGCATTCGTTGCTATGTGGATGACAGCAATGAAACTTTTTACACTGGCCGGTCAAACATCCCTCGGATGGAAGAAGGGTGTAAAGACAGACTTGTGCCCGAGATTGAGATGTTACTGGATCAAGTCTCAAATTGGTGTCAACAAAATTTGATTCGATTAACCCAGCAAAGACATAAGTGTGTTTGAAAAAGCTTGTGTATTCAATAGATCTAGTAAGTACCTCAAGCCTAAATATCGGGTGTTACTTTACAAAGCACTGGTCCTCTGGGCTGGAGCACCCCAATACCAACTCCTTCCTCTTGACCGGATACAAAAGCGGGCATACTGATGCTCCTGAGCTCACTCACGCGTTGCTACCCCTTAGCATGCGCAGACGGTACAACACGTAAAATGACGAGGAGCTCGATGGCGCAAGTGGTTAGCGCTTTCGGCTGCGATCGTTGAAGTTAAGCAACCTTCGCAGTGGTCGGTCACTGGATGGGTGACCAAAAATTTATATATCTCGAGCTCCTCCGTGCTTCGGAAGGCACGTTAAGCCGTTGGTCCCGGCTGCATCTGCAGTCGTTAGCACCCACCAATCCGCACTGGGCCCGCGTGGTGAGTCATAACCCAATCTCCCTATTCCATCCATAGGGAAGGCCTGTGCCCCAGCAGTGGGAACATTAATAGGCTGATGATGATGATATGGCAATCTTAAAAAGGCGGATGAACCTTTTCGTTCAGAGCCGGCAACGCATGAGTGGTCCTTGGTACTGCAAGTGTCCATGGGCAGCAGTGACCACTTATTATGAGGTAGACCGCTAGCTCTTTTGCTGATGTAGTCAACATAAAAAAAGTTGATTTGTGACATTTTTAACTGTTTTTTTATTGGTCTGTCCGGGTTCTGGGCTCCAAAATCCGGGGTTATCACGCCTCTGATCCTGGTTGCCACATTTTAGAGATGGCAGCCCTAGTCCTATACTACGTTTGCCGAGTCGTGGTCTCTATATAACATATACCTACAAATCTTTTTTAGATACCCTATCATTCCATGAAATGATTGAGTATCTTTTTTAAAAAAATATTAGCTTTAAATTGTTACGAACGCGAGTCTCGCGTCCGCGTCTTGTTAATCTGCCTCCACTGCGGCCATCGCCTGCTTTCCTCAAACTGACATCTCACGAGCCTGTTTTCTAATTCTGAACCAGCGTGCACTGTGGTTGTACCCTCTACCTGAATGTTTGGGTCATTCTTGTTTCAGATTCTGAATTCACCAGCGCCGCCCGGACTGCAGATAGGGTTACCAACCCTACTATAAAATATAGTATCCTACTATTTTAGGGGACCAAATACAATATTTTACAAATAATATTATTATTCAAATGGTGAAAGAATTTTTAATACCGGTCCAGTACTTTTTGAGCCAATTATTTACAAACAAACTTACATACAAATATTCATAATATTAGTGTAGATAAAAGTTACAATGGGAAATATTTAATATGATTCGAATAAGACTAGAAGTGGCTTAAAAGACTTGTATCCAAGCCTTAAATATTGAAAAAAAAATCACAAAATGACAACCAGCAACCACAGACTATTAGATACGCATTTGACAACCGAAAGTCCAAAACACGTGCTTTGTTGTGTGATGTACTTAGGACTTGCTTTTCTGTCTGAAGCGCTTCTTTTCTTCCTTAAACTTTTCCCAGATACAAGATTGGTTATTAATTCATCCTGAAATATGTCGACCGAAAATGAAGATCACATGGAGTCTAGTTCAAGCGAGGGTGATGAAGATATGGAAGGTGTTGATGAAGGAAGTAATGCAGAAGACGAGGCCCCAAAAACGTATTTACCTGGGCAACCTTTACAAGAGGACGAGCAGCTAGTTTGCGATCAGTCAGCATATGTTATGCTTCACCAGGCACAAACAGGTGCTCCATGTCTCAGTTTTGACATTATACCAGACAATCTTGGAAGTGATAGAAATCAATTCCCTATGACTGCATACTTAGTTGCCGGCACCCAAGCATCCAGTGCACATTTAAATAAGTAAAGCATATGAGTTATCATTTGTTCTAAGTTATGGTTTGGTACCATTTTAATAATTTTCTTTTAATAGAACTGTATAATTTCAGTTTACTGGTAATTAAAATGTCAAACTTGCACCCTACATCAAAGTCAGCAGACAATGATTCTGACAGTGACAATGATGATGATGATGATGAAGATGAAGAGGATTTAGACAAAAAGCCAGAAATGACATTCTCATTCATCAAACATCAGGGGTGTGTCAATAGAATAAGGGTAAGCTTGTTATTTGCACTTTTATGTTCTGTTTTAAAATAATTTTAGTATATACAACAACAAACTTTATCCACAGACTACTAATTATAAAAATTCAGTTTTGGCTGCCAGTTGGTCAGAATTAGGCAGAGTGGATATATGGAATATAACACAGCAATTACAAGCTGTAGATGATCCTCTTGTTTTGGAAAGATATAATTTAGATACAGTAACAAATCCAGTTAAACCACTTTTTTCTTTCAATGGTCATCAACAAGAAGGTTTTGGAATAGATTGGTGTCCTACAGAACTGGGTGTAAGTATTTAATTGTTTAATGATTGTGTGATTATTAAGTTTTATAGTACCCATACTTTGTTAATTTATTCAATAGGTGCTTGCTACTGGAGATTGTAAAAAGGATATACATATATGGAAGCCAAATCAAGCAGGTACTTGGGATGTAGATCAACGTCCACTGGTGGGACATACTAGCTCTATAGAGGATATACAGTGGTCACCCAATGAAAGGTAAGAATAAAAAAGTATTCTACAATTTGATTGATTAAAATAATAATACAATTATTGTTCACTCCAGAAATGTTTTGGCTACGTGTTCTGTTGACAAAACTATAAGGATTTGGGATACAAGAGCTGCTCCGCACAAAGCATGTATGTTAACATGTGAAAATGCTCATCAAAGTGATGTCAATGTTATAACTTGGAATAATAAAGAACCATTTATTGCTAGCGGTGAGTACATTTTAGAATAATTTCCCTAGGTTTGAAACTACATTTCCAAATAGTTATTTGAAAATCAATTCTTATTTAAAGAGAGCTCAATAGTTATATTTCTCTACTTACTACAACATTATATGATAACATTATCAAAAAGTGATTAAATTAATAATTTGTAGAAATCTATAATCCCTAACCAATATATTTCACAGGTGGTGATGATGGTTTCATACATATTTGGGATTTAAGACAATTCACAAATAATACACCAGTAGGTACATTCAAGCATCACACAGGACCTGTCACTTCTGTGGAATGGCACTGGTCAGAGCCTAGTGTCCTAGCTTCAGCTGGTGAAGATAATCAAGTGGCTTTGTGGGATTTGGCAGTTGAACGAGATGATGATGAAATTATTGATGAAGAACTGAAAGTAATTGCTTTGTATTGTTCACTTTCATCCATGGTTTTAATTTGAAGTACCAACAATTACTTTAATCACTTATTTCCTTTCAGAATCTACCACCACAACTGCTTTTTATACATCAAGGTCAAACTGATATCAAAGAATTGCACTGGCATAAACAAATCCCAGGAGTCATAGTAACAACTGCCCACACTGGGTTCAATATATTTAAAACAATTAGTGTTTAGTTAATATTATATTTCAATAAACAAAAGTAAATATAATGTGATCCTTTCTTTATTTCTATGCTTGTTCGTTCATGATTAATTAAATCCAAAAGTAAAACTTCAATAAAAATTATTTAAGTTGATTTTTAACATGTATCAATGCTAAGTTTACTAGATGTCTTATTGTAGGTCGTCCATGTGGGCAATTCTGAAAAAAAAATTGGGCATATTGAATTTGTAAATATAAATCAACAATATTAAATACCCTAGGATACACCAACACAAACAAAAGGTACATTGGATGATTCACGGAGCTCCTTAGATGATCACATAGTCAAAACCAATATAACGCATTCTTTAAACATTATAAGGCATTATGTAAGTCAGCTTTAATGCATAATGTATAAGGTCTTAATTGAAACGCATGCGACAAGGAGTTGTGATAAATTCAATACTGTTTATTAATTGTTGGCTGTACAAGCAGTTTTAGGAAGTGGAAAATATACGCCATCGGCTCGTAAATATACGGCGGGTGATATTCGTCGTTCAAGAAACTTGGAGAAGCTGCTTTTCTCTTTTTATTATATGAATATACAGAGACATCGTTGTTTTTTTTAATATGAAATAATTCAAGAGGTGACTTATCGTTACATAATTTGGAATATGTAATAACTTCACCTGCAGTTTAATTGCAAACAGTATAAGTGATTTAGTTTGGGTATAACTATATATTATTTCAATGTAATAGTAATTAGTAAGAGCTGGCTCATCTCCGCTGGCAGCACCCGTTCACGAGCATGACGCATTACAAGCCATAGCTTTACCCAACCATATTTTTAGGGTACATAATGACCGGCGTCATCGTAAGAAAGAAATAGTTCCCTCTACTAACTCGTTACCGTATTTGTGCAGAGTTACTTCTCATTTAAAATAACAGTATGGATTTTTAATACCCAAGGTTTGTCAATTTCTGACATGTGAATAACAAGTTTCTTCATATCTGCCTTGCTGAGGGCTGTGCCAATCATGACAGATTTTCTACATGCTCTAGAAGCAAACATTGCTCTCACTCTACTGGGTCTGCAATATTCTGACGAAGATTCCTAAAAACATAAAAAATATGAATAATGATAAAGAATTAGAATAAAATCTACAAATAGGGCGTGGTATCGTTTCACTTTGTATAGTATGATGTTAAAGCAGATGCCCAATTATTTTTTTCGTATTTACAAATTAACGTGTGGTCTGCAATTTAACTAATCTACTTATCCGTAAGTTGGTCGCAACGACCAGTTGTGCCGGCCCGTTATTTGGCCAGTTCGCTGTTGCGGAAAAGTGCGCGAGACGATCGTATGGATTCTTTAGTTAGTTAATCTGTAGGCCTATTCGCTAACTGCTTTTGACAGATGGGAGTGATAATCATCGAGCTATTCTGTGATCCATTACTGCTTGATTATATAACGCCACTAAGATTCTTGCTCCGAAAAGTATCAATGGAAATGCAATTTTTTGAAGTTATACTTCTTTAGGCGCGTTATGAAAAAATGATGAGAGTGAAATTTTAAGATGCGCGCGCATCACTGTAACACAAAATTTTAACAGCATGAAGTTGGTCGCTTTAGCTATTTATGTGTTTACCGCACATTAAGAAAATCTACCAACAAAATAGAAATAGAATCTCTATTTAGTGGGTGCTAACGACTGCATTGTGAAGGCCTATCAAAAGTATTTATTAATCTGGAACAACGGAACCAAAGCGCGATTCAGGAGACTACAGCGCCATCTCTTGACCATTGGTGTAGTAGAACCAAAAACCACATCTTTATTTTTTGTAATAGAGTAACAGTTATAAGTATTCAGATTTTTAATATTTATCCACATGTTTCTAGTTTGTATATTCGGATTACGTGTTTGAGTTTCATACAAGTGCAAATCACTTATGTTCTAATAAATTATATTCAGTAGCGATTTTAATTGAATATTTTGATTATTTATTTATTTTTTCAAATTAAAACTGAACTTTATTGACTGTGTCCTTTTCCAGACTTTTTATTAATTTATTGTAATTAATTATTTGCATGCAATTAAAAACTAATTTTAAACGATGTCAAAGAAGGATAACTTCTCACGCGCCTACATAAGTACACGCACCCATTTTTTTTCTTTAGTTACACACTGTAAATGTCAAAAAAGTTAGCGAATAGGCCGGCTGGTTTTGCGGCCCCTGGCTTTGGCCGTCTAGTCAGTAGGTTGCCTTAATGTTTGGTCATTTGGCCATCCTATGACCGAAAGTTGATCTACTTCCACGATCGCAGACCGAAAACGCTATCCACTCCACCATTGAGCACCTCCTCAGCATGAATTTATATTGCACTAGTGACCGCCCGCGACCTCGTCCGGGTTAATTTAACTTATTATAAACAACAATTCTGCAAAGTCTAAAGCAAATCAGACGGCGCAATTAAAAGTTTCATTCAAGTTTCCCTTCCCTTCCCTTCCTTACCCCACCACCTATAAGTTTTCGTGAAAAGAGTAGCTTATAACTGTTTCCAAGGTTCCATCTATGTTTATAACAGAAATTATGATAATCGACTCAGCCGTTTAAGCGTAAAAGCGAAACCAACTAACAAAATACACTTTCGCATTTATAATGTTAAGATTAAATTCTAGATACATGAGACTTTATAGCATACCCTTAACATAAACAACAGTTCCTCAATGTCTTCTTTACCGAATACCCAATTTTTCGACATTGGTATTGTTAGAAGTTTAACTCTCTTCGTTGGTGGGGCTTTTTCATCTATGTCGAATATAAAACCATTCTTCTTGAAGATCTCTAAATTATCCATCAATATTTGTTCATTTACTCCAGTTAATTCCAAGGGCTGTGGACTAATTTATTGCAAACATTAATTTTAATATTTTTGAAATAGTGTTGTAATAACTAATGAATATAAAGTTAAAGGGTATTTTAGACAGGCGTGGACGCGCAGTGACTGCCAACCGCCAAATGCGGTACTTAAATAATATATATACAATAATAAATAGTTCGGCCGCAATATTTTGAGCGGTATCTGCAACGACATAAAATACCACAGATACACCAACACGAACAAAATCGTGCCCGAAACCTGTCCAAAAGGTACATTGGACGATCTACGGAGCTCATAAAGATGATCGCATTGCCAAAAACAATTTAAGACATTGGAAGTTAGCTTTAATGTATACTATATAAGGTCTTAATTAAAACGCACGCATCAAAGAGTTATGACAGTTCGAAATGCAAGCTTGTAAAATTTTACGACTTGTTGCTTTATGCGGAAGAATATAGACATTATTTCTATGACTACGCGCAATTCTGAATGCGCTGTTAGCAGTATAGCAGGTACGGACTGCGAGGAAAAGAGATGGCTATACAACGGACCATGCATATGAATATAAATAAATATTTCCAACACTCACACCAATTAGCCTAGCCCCAAAGTAAGCACTATAAGGCTTGTGTTATGGGATACTAGGGTAACGGATAGACTACATATACTGTACATTATATTATTATAGAAATACATATTAAACATCCATGACTGAAGTACAAATGCTCGTATTCATCACAAACATCTGCCTCCACCGGGATTTTAACCCGGGACCTCTCGAGTCGGCGACACCATGAAACCCGGCGTACAAACCACTCGGCCACTAATCACAAATATTTTCTATTAAATCAGTTTATCGTAAGTATTAGAACAAAATTTGCTTCAAATTCGTAAAATGTACTAACAATGATTAGATACCTGTCGAAAAAACGACACTTTATATACTATAAGTATTTTTTTCGCATTTTTTCACGGAGCTCCGCGGCAACTTGACTTTTCAACGGTCCGCGCGTAACTGTGAACCAAGAAGTGCTTGAGTGGAGTTCAAGAACTTCTTGATTGGGACACATTTTGAGCGTTATGTTACGCCCAATTGCGTGACTCCGTACTGTCAGATTGTTATGTAGCATTCAATGTGTGCGTGTGCAGCAACAAACTTATAGTATACCATTTATAGTAGAATTAGATATTTTTTGCTGTAGTGCAGTTAATACGGTATCTAAGCGTATATATATTATATATAATCAAAGTTCGTTCGTTTTTTATCGTTGATATACACATATTAACGTAAAGTCTGTTCTGCGTTCAGGAAGTTAAAAATTATTACTTAAGAAAAATTATACTTACACTACCAATTTTTGACTAGTCAGCTCTGTTGTTTTTTGTAACGTTTCAAAATTATAGATTTCATCTGTAGCATGTTGATCAATGATAAAAAGATCATCCTCTAAACGTGTTATGATAAACCCAAGATTAAACTGCCCAATAACAGTCATTTTCTTGAAAGAATCCATTGATATTTCCTTACTTAGCTCTTCCTCACATTTTTTATTGTATACAGGGTTAATGGTACTTTTAAATTTCACTCTCTCTGGTAATGCTTTGCTTCTATTTTTATGGTATATATCAACTAAATGTTTAACATGGTCTAAAGACGTTTTTAGATTAACTGACCTTCTATTATATTTGCCCAAATCCTCCCTGTCTGTCACAACTTTAGATTTCTTAGCATCAACATTACTATTAGATTTTGCCAAAGAACTACCTCTACATTTAATAGTATGTTTCTGTATTTCTATATCATCTATATTTCTAATTTGTGTGCTGGGTAATTTATCAGTGCATTCCAAATACATGATTTCTTGCTTGCTACTCATGGGTGATATTTGATTTACTTCTTCCAAGCATATTGTTTTAGAAGACTCTTGTTCAGTTTCACATTTTCTGTTTGGTAAAATCATTGATTCATCATTTTTAGATACAGGTTTAGTGTCATTTTCTATCAACTCATTAGATACTGCCACAGTCTCGTTTTCTATCAACTCATTAGATACTGATTCAGTCTCATTTTCTATCAACTCATTTTCATCATCCTCTGAATGTAAAGAGTTATCAGAATTCCTACAATCAACCAAAACTCCATTATTTGTTTGTTTTTTATGCTTAGATGAAATAAAGTCCAACATTGTGGTAGACTTCCTTTTTAAGTCCGGTTTTACTGAACTTTGCTTATTTTCACTTGCAATTCTTTCACTTACAACTTTACTACTAAATTGTTGTAAAAATGAATTAAATATTCTAGGTTGGTCTGTAACAGCATTAACTGTTTTTGGAACATGTAACAATGAGTCAACTTTTAAAGTCCTGGGAATACTTTCAAATAATTTAGAAATGGAATTCTTCAATAAGTCTAATATAATTTTTTCCTTTGTCAAAAATATCTTCCTTTTATCTGGTGTTACATTTACATCTACAGATGCTTTTTCTATATTCACATTCAAGAAAACAAATGGATATTGGTTTGGATTATATTGTTTGTACAGCTCATTAATAAGTTTCATTATTTTGGTGGGTTCACAAGGTCTTGAATTTATAAAGTAAAACTGTCTGTCTGTACTAGATCGACCACTGCCATGTGCACATGATGATATAAATCCAACTAACTCAGCAGGTTTTACGAGATTTTGGTAACCTTGTGACTTTTGTGAATTACATAGAGAGTCGAGAGTTTTTTTTTCTGCATCATTTGAATCTTCTGACAAATTTATTTCAACATCTTCTATAAATTGTTCTTCAGTTTCCTCTAAATCACTTGACAAGCCTTTAAATATATTATCTTTGATGTTGCTAATATATTCTGGTTTGATTTCAAGAATACTCTGTATTTGTCTTACTCCAAATACACAAGCTATATTGTCTTTATAGGACATTGAACCTTGAGTAGCAACTATTATACTTTTAGAATTAGTTGAAGTTTGATTGCTACAGGTGATCCTGAAAAAGAAATATTTTTATCAATATATAAGCCACATGATGAGATATAATTATACAAGTCACATGTAACATACTTCACACCCAATGATATCAAACAATATGCATATAGAAGTTGTGTCATTTTGTTGAATTCTCTTTTGACATTTTTGTGGAATTCCTTTAATCTCACAGGTAGTGATGAAAACAAATTTGTTAAAGTAACAGTTGTTCCCACTTGGCGTGAGCATGGTGTTTTTTTCACAATGTTACCTTTATGATCATATTCCAGTTTAGTGGCTGAAATTAAATAAGTCAAACATGCATTACTTAGACTGATTATAATATATTGATGTTGATGTACCTTTAGCCTAGGCAAAACTAGTTTGTCCTGAAATCTGGTTTGGCCGGTAACATATATATATCACTAGGTCGGTTTTTCCGTGATAATTTACATGCATGAAATAAAATATGATGAGCGACGTTGAACTACCAATATAATAAATATAAATTATTTACAAACTAAACTTCTAACACAAGCAACTCAAGCCACTTCTAGTACGACGCGGAGCTATAACTGTGATCAGTTTTTTTTTTATTTGTAACCGAGCCATCTATGCCCGAACGTAATCAATGAGCAATGACACTGTTTTAGTTCTACCCCCGACTTCAATGTATCTCCGTATTAAACCAAATTGTTATTTAAAATATTTTATGTTCTCATGGTAAGTGAATTTTGTAATTTTTTATGAGAATAAAGATCTAAAACCGTAGATGTAAAGTGTGTGAATTGAGACACCTAATTTTGCTAACTAAAATTTCACATTGATTTATCAGCTTATGAACTTTACACAATCTACATATTGGTAAATTTATTTTGCCTTATTCTTTTGTATTGAATGGTAAATACCCAAATTTAAAGGCAAAAGAACATATTTTCTAATATTCGTAAGTTCCTACCCAATTATAATATTTTTACCTAAGAGGATTAAAATTTTATGTGGATGCATGGTTTTATTGACAATATAAGTTAGTTTATTTACTTGACTTGATAAAAGAGGAGAAATATTTAGAAGTACAATATTTTAGGTTGTCTGTCACAGCATACAAAAGGTGATTTGCTTGCTAAAGGAACACTGCATGCACACCATTAAACATTAATAGAAAAAACAGAAGCCCAAGTATCGATCCCTGGGTTACACCAGAGGTTGTTAGTTGTATATACAATATCTTTTATATCAGAAAAAGTTCATAATATTACTATTGTCTTATAAAATAAAAAAATATTGCATAAATCAAATAATTATTAAGGAAAACATTCTAGTGCATAAACTTACCATAAGCTAAACTTTGATGCCTTGTGGTAATAGTAAGGTCAGAGAGAGCACACAAAGAACTCAATGCCTCACCTCTGAATCCAAAACTAGTGACTCCCAGCAGATCAGAGTAATCTCTTAATTTAGAAGTGTGATATTTTAAGGCTGTAAATAAAAATTACAAAAATAATGGCAACACATCCACAATACTCCAAAGGCCACAGTGATCATTTACCACCAGGCAGACTGTGTGCTTATTTACCTTCCATATGATATAAAAAAGTACACCATGCATAAAAACAACAACATAAGAATCTAAAGTACTAAAAAATATCCACCAGTCTCACTAATTTGAAAAATTCAAGCGCAATTGTATATTACTATATTTTTAATCAAGCTTAATGGCGTTGTGATAAAAAATCAGTTTGCTCTGAACTTTATTTGTGATTTTTTTTTATTTAATCTTAAGTGTGATATATCCACATTTTGTAAAGGATTGTCGCATGGTTCTGGCACAACCGCTATTACACATATACAATCTGTGTTTAGAGGACTCGTATTTTCCAGAATGTTGGAAAACAACACGGGTGATTCCAATACCTAAAGGGGGCTCTGGTTCGGAAGTGAGCGGTTTCAGACCGGTGGCGATTCTCTACGCCAGCGAAAGTGGTCGACCTGCGCTGCAAAACAGTATACAAAAGCAGATAGTGGCGCAACTTTCGGACGCTCAGCATGGGTTCAGGCAAGCGCTTCGCACCACAAGCAATCTGCTCAATGTGATCGCATACATCATCCCTCATGGGACGCGAATTTGCAGGTTGATAATGATATACTTCTCACAAAGTTGGCGGCTGTCGGATGCAATAAAAAACTTTTAAAGTTTTTCGCTACCTACATGAGGAATAGAAAGCAATATGTTGAGTACGGCGCGGCGTGTGCAGGTCTGAACCTTATCTCACAAGAACTGGGGTAAGTCAGGGATCGAACCTAGGTCCTTTGGAATTTTTGATAATGATCAATGACCTGCCACAGGTAGTACAGAGTGCTCGATGTTTATTATTCGCCGATTACCTCAAATTGCTCCTAAAGGTCAAAGATACAAGTGACTGTGTGCGTTTGCAAGACGATGTGGATAGAGTAGTCGAATGGAGCCGAAATAACAAACTAATTTTTATCGTTAATAAATGCTCAGTAATAAGTTTTAGTAGATCAAAATCACCACTCCACTTCAAATATGAGGTCGATGGTGAAGTTTTGAAGCGTACGCTTCAAAACTTCAATTCGAGGTCAGAGATCTTGGAGTACACTAAACAGAGATTTAACTTTCAGAGAGCACATTATAGGTCTGTAAAAATGCTTACAGGACTCTGGGATTTGTCTTGCGTCGTGCGCAGGGCTTTACAAATTTAAAAACTATATCGGCTCTGTATGAGGCTCTTGTTCGAAGCAAGCTCGAGTTTAACGCCGTCGTGTAGTCTTCTCTAATTTTCTAAAAATATTTGCATGAAGTTTTAACTTTTTTATAAAAACAGTTATTTTTAATGATCCTCGAAGTAATGACGTATCTTAAAATTATCGATATTTTTATTAATCATTAAAAATAACTGTTTTTATAAAAAAGTTAAAACTTCATGCAAATATTTTAAGCAAATTAGAGAAGACTCCTTATATGATGTACTTCAACGCCCATCAAGCTTTATTTGTATTTTTGTAACACCCTGTATACGGATTACTAAAATATAAAAAAAAATGGGTGCGTGTACTTATGTAGGCGCGTGAGAAGTTATCCTTCTTTGGCATCGTTTAAAATTAGTTTTTAATTGCATGCAAATAATTAATTACAATAAATTAATAAAAAGTCTGGAAAAGGACACAGTCAATAAAGTTCAGTTTTAATTTGAAAAAATAAATAAATAATCAAAATATTCAATTAAAATCGCTACTGAACATAATTTATTAGAACATATGTGATTTGCACTTGTATGAAACTCAAACACGTATTCCGAATATACAAACTAGAAAAATGTGGATAAATATTATAAACTAGCGGCCCGCCCTCGCTGCGCTTCGGTGTAGACTACAGTTTTTGTTCTCAGGCTTGTATTATACACAATGACATTCATCTATGATTCTTCTTATACCTGCATGCAAAGTCTCAGCCCGATCGGTTTAAAATTGATAAAGTTTCATACAAACTTTCATTCCTTATTTTATCCCCTTGGGATTTTCTTTATATTTTTTTCCGTAAGAACTTTGTACAGAGTATTAGAAAACTACAAAAAAAAACAGCCAAATCGGTCAAGCCATTTTCATGTTATGTCGTGACAACGGAAAACGGGTTTCATTTTTATATATATAGATATGAAAACAGTCTCTGTTCTAAATTCAAAACTTGTAACTTTTCCCGATGTTTGTTGTACGTGTTTCCCGCGCTAGGACCGCGAGTGGCCGCGCATGCGTACGGTGCGGCGGGCGACGCGGTAATGGCAGTTGTTAGTTGTATATACAATATCTTTTATATCAGAAAAAGTTCATAATATTACTATTGTCTTATAAAATAAAAAAATATTGCATAAATCAAATAATTATTAAGGAAAACATTCTAGTGCATAAACTTACCATAAGCTAAACTTTCATGTTATGTCGTGACAACGGAAAACGGGTTTCATTTTTATATATATAGATATGAAAACAGTCTCTGTTCTAAATTCAAAACTCGTAACTTTTCCCGATGTTTGTTGTACGTGTTTCCCGCGCTAGGACCGCGAGTGGCCGCGCATGCGTACGGTGCGGCGGGCGACGCGGTAATGGCAGCGCGGCACATGAAGTTGGTCGCTTTAGCGATGGTGTTAATTTTTTGTGTTACAGATGCGCGCGCATCTTAAAATTTCACTCTCATAATTTTTTTATAACGCGCCTAAAGAAGTATAACTTCAAAAAATGTCACTCGTTTTTCTGGTATATTTTAACCAAATTTGCCGCCCCCTAAAATCTGCCGCATTTAAAGAAATTAATATTTTAACACTGGCGTCGCAATACATTTATGAAAATTTAATATATCTAAGAAAAAACTATGATGAATTTGCAAAAAAAAGTTAAACCCATAACTTTAACACGAGATATAAGAACAAGCTTGCCGTTCCATGTTTCAGACTCCAAAAATCAAGAGGTTCATTTCTGGGTTGTAGTATTGCATTGTTTAACAAAGTTCCCCAAGATCTGATTGAGCTTCCACTGACTAAATTTAAATCTCAGATCAAAAATACTCTTATGAATAAGGGCTATTATAAAGTTGATGATTATCTAAATGATCGTAATGCATGGACATAGTGTTTCTTATAATTTGATATTAAATGGGTATTACTCATTTTTCATAACAGTAATATTGTACCTATCTAATGCCGCTTCCTATAAACTACTTAAAATGTTAACTATAAAATTAATTGTAACTACAAATTTATATTCTAGATGATGTAATGGAAAGTGACTTCAGACGTATTTCTGAAGTAATTTTTCAACTTGACGACACTGTATATAACAATACAGGGAGAAAAAAACAGCCCTTGCTGAGTTTCTTGCCGGTTCTTCTCAGTACAAGGTCTCCCGCCGTAGTTTTCCAAACCGATGGCGTAGCTTCTTGAATTTCACAAGTGCTTGTAACAGCCTAGACTGAATAGATGACATTTCATTTCATTTCATTTCAAAACATGTTATATGATGAGTGGATTTCGAGGCAGCATTTCAAATCCAGAAATACTGGGTATGATAAGACGGACGGTGTGCCGGATGGGTACGTGGCGCGGCGCAGGCGGCCGAAACTATTCGCGGTACCAGCCGCGAGAACTAATCTTTTAGCTATGTCACCTTTGACCCGTACGTTGCACACCTTGAATCTAGTTGCCGTAAGAATTGATTTGTTTCACTGTCGATTATCTTTATTTAAAAGATCGGTGGTAATGGAAATTTATAATAGAGATGACAATATGAAATAATCACTACATAGTATAAAACAAAGTTGCTTTCTCTGTCCCTATGTCCCTTTGTATGCTTAAATCTTTGAAACTACGCAACGGATTTTGATGCGGTTTTTTTAATAGATAGAGTGATTCAAGAGGAAGGTTTATATGTATAATACATGCATAATATAGTAGAGAAACACTGATAATTTTAGAGGTTTTTAATATAAGGTCGTAAATAAACACATTTTTTTGCGCTTACATTGCAAACGCTGGCTGAACCCAACGAGATGGATCAAAATAATGTACTACAGTATTGTACACCTTAAAAAGGTCTACAAAAAAGTCCGCGATGGTATATGCCTATCTCTTTGGTATAACCCACAATAACCATTTTTTAATTACTTATTATGAGAAAATAATGGCTTATTTACGAACAAGCGATTTTAAGCAATACAGCATTAATCCTTATCCAATTAAGTACCTTAAATACATTGTGCGTGTAATATAGATCAATATAACCCTCTACAGCATGTAATTTAAATGAATATTTTCGAAGATATTACAGATTTAAAATGCAGGAACATACCGGTTCGGGCAGTACTGGCCGGGGGCCGGCGGCGGCGCGTGTCTTTAGTAATTAGGTATTTAAAGAAAGTCATTGTGTTTAATAGAAACCTGAGAACAAAAATATAATCTAAACTACAGCTCTACACCGAAGCGAAGCGAGTGCGGGCCTCTAGTAATATTATAATTTAATTCAATTTTTGAAGTGAAAACTTCTTTAGCGGCGTTGTACACTTTTTTTGTATGGGTAAAAAATGTAAAACTCGCGTCAAGTTAAACACGTGGGCTGATCGCATCATGATTCATGACACACAATAAAATTGAAAAGGTTGTTGACTTTCAATATATTGGACGAAACAAAGTAAAATTTTTTTTTACCGTATTATAATAATAACTCTCTATCTAGGACGTCCACGTGGCAGCTTTATTGCGAAGAAAATGCATTTTTTTACTATTGATGTCGCTAGGTGCGCTTAAATGTGATTCATGTAAGTTGATTTCTTTCCAGTAGATGTCGCTAAGTGCGCTTAAACATGAAGCACGTTTAAGCGCACTTAGCATAAGTTGATTTTTCTGAGAGATAAACTTTTTTAATGTAATATAAATTGTAATGTTTGTGTACGATAGTGCAATAAATAAATATTGTATTCTATCACATACATGATAGTACCTTTATACTGATAATCAAAGCAATTCGTGCAAAATTATTCCCTAACCATTCCAAAATATCAAAAATGCACAACATTAATATTCAAGTTTTCACTTCCGGCACTCCCAGAGTGCAAACAGTCGTTTTTAAAAAATGTATGTATACTATATAATGTTAATTTATATGTAACAAAATGGAATTAGTATTATTGTCTTTTTTTAATTCAATTATGTTTATTTTATTACTTGTTATTTTGATACTACAATATTGCATTAGGATTATTCCTGTAAAAATAGCTATATGTGTTTTCCAATAAATAAATGTTCCTCAAGATTTACCCATGTAAGTGATGCGAAAATGTCATAGTTTAATTTGGGTTACAATTAAAAACCTACAAAAATGTGAACATGTAAAAGTCCTTCAGCCGCATGCGGCATAATTTGTTAGCAGCTATTTTTATTTTATTTCTTTTATAATGTTTTAAAATATCTTAGGATTATGCAAAAAAATTATTTATAAAAAATTACTGTAAATAAATTGTAAACATTGGGAAGGTAAGGATTGTTTATAAAAAACCTGTATTCACAAATGTTTAATACTTAACTATTCAGGTATTGTAAAATACTGGGCAAATTTAAATATTCTATACTTAAATTGTTTCGAAAAATAAATAAAAGCTTAATAAAAGGAAAAAAAAATAAGAGCTCAGGATCATACCACCGATCATTTGGTGTTGGCCCCAAGACCATTACTGTTCGGCTATCTGTCTCTTACAGTAAATGGTAAATGACAGATAAATATCTTGAAGACTACTTCATTTTCATTGAATCTCAAGTCACAATGATACTAAAGAAATTTCATTTAAAAATGTTTTTTGTTTGTATCATATCCAGAATTGGTAACTATATCCTGTCATTTGTCCCGAGCATTTTCCTCACGCCCAATATTTGTCGAAGGAATCCATGTAAAAGAGGATTGGTTTTATTAGAATGAAGTAGGTACTTTGTCTAGAATAACTGAGACTGTTGATACATACTTAATGCAGCAAAATTATCTTCTGTAACACCACTACCATTATCAGCAACTTCTATTAATTCAATTCCATAGTTTTTTAGCCGTATATCAATATTTGTGGCCCCTGCATCTAATGAATTTTCTACCAATTCTTTTACAGCAACTGCTAGACTTAGAACAACCTGTAATTGTTACAAGTATAAGTAAGCATATAAAATTGTGTAATAAATGAAAGGCAGAGCATGGATCATAACTAGACCTTGAGAAAGTTAGAAATAAAAAAAATTCTTCTCTTTGTCATCTTAAAATGGATGGACAGATATGGCGAACCTTTACATATCAATGTGTTACTATTCTAATAAAAATGTTTAACGAGGTCAAAGATATGCCATTAAATAATTTGGCTCTGTGATTATTGGGAATATAATAACCCATTCTTCCACTCTAATATTGTAAATGCGAAAGTGTGTCTGTTTGTATACCTTATCACGCTTAAATTGCTGAATTGATTTAGATGAAATTTGGTATACAGATAATTTGAGTTCTGGAAAAGAACATAAGTAGGATAGTTTTTATCCTAAAAACATTCTTCAAGGAGGTGAAAAGGGGGGGCGATTCCTAATAGATGTTACGTAGTGCCTAATGAATGTGATTGCCCAAAATATTGTGTCACATGGCATTCAGGGCACACATGCATTAGTTTGACATCCTTGGCCTAGGATATACTGTACTACTAGGGCCCAAGCGATGATAGTTCAGCAATGATTGAGCAATGCAAATAATAGCATTAGAAGAGAAAAAAAATATCAGTTGGTAATAAATAACAGAGACTAGAACATAGCTATTACTATAACAATATATATTATTCATAAAGCATGCTGTTTGAATTTTCTTTTGAAAACCTAACAAATGATCAATGCCCAGTGTTTTTTCAAAACAGATAACAATGAAAGCAGGGGAAGCTATGAAACTTAGTTTTACCTGTCCAGAACATATTTTATGAACTGTATCTTTATTGATAGGTTTAATTTCAGTTTCTGTATCCATGATTGATTTGACCAGTACATTTACTAGGTAGAACTAAAGGCAAATTAATAAAATTTAAAGTAATCAAAAAAAGTTTCCCTCCATCCTGCTTTGTTTTGATTGATTTTTTATAAAGTTCGCTCTTTACAGATAAGGCAAAGGGACAATGCTCATCCATACAGCCTTGATTGTTTTTTTTTGTAAATTACCCTTAACTTGGAAGACCAAGGCAAGGATATCATATCTATACAACCAATGATTTCCTTAAAATAACTGATATTGAAAATTAACGACTAATTTATCTAATTAGTACGAACAATAATCTGTTCTCTTTAATATGTAAAGAAAATGACAACGATGCTTAAACTTAGTTGTTTTATTTATGAGTAGTTAGACAATTTTGACAGGGTGGGTCCCAATTTTATTTATTTTATTTTATTAATATTACCAGTTTCAAAAAAATATAATTATAATGTTGTGATCAATCACATCTTAAAGCCATAGAGGTTTGAATTTATGCGATCTACGCCTGTACGACAATATTAAATTGCTAACGGAGCTACTTTATTACATTAATAAAAGATTAAATCTAAAGAAAAGTTTACTAGAAAAAAATCCACGCGGACCAGGCAGCGGACGGGACTCGAACCCTATCCGGGCGAATGCACTGACCATTATGCTACCACGGCCCTATTAGCCGCGTCGAAATTTTCCTAGCCTTAAGCTGCAAGGCAGCGCCATCTCTTCGCATTGTAGGTAACCCTCAATGTCAAATAAATACTTTTTCAAGTATTAAACATTTGAAAGAAGAAATAGCAATTATAGTTATGATTTTATTTATTTTTTAAGCATTTAACTGCTAGATGTTTAAATCTAAAGAAAAGTTTACTAGAAAAAAAAAAGAAGGGTTCGAGTCCCGTCCGCTGCCTGGTCCGCGTGGATTTTTTTCTAGTAAACTTTTCTTTAGATTTAAACATCTAGCAGTTAAATGCTTAAAAAATAAATAAAATCATTAATAAAAGATGTTGTCGTGTTTAGTTTTAAGAATACATCATGAAGCCCTATAGCACGGTATCTATACAGTACATTGTGACTCCGCCCTGTCCTTGAAAATAAATGCATACGGCCGAGCGCTGCGCTAGCACGCGGTAGGGCCGCCCGCCTACAGTATTTTATGTAGTTTTGTTTTTAACGCGAGTATAGGTAGATTACTCGTTTGTCTCTTTTTTCATCCTAACCACTTATTTCTAAATTATGCCAGCTATTTTGCCCGATGGAAAAACCGAAATACCTAAATATTAGAAACAAATCACGGACTAGTAGATAGGTATGTATATAAAAAATATTCTATAAAGTTAAGACACCTTTCCAATATTTCAGGTAATTTAAAAAATGATATCTCTGGGTGTGTTATTGAAGTGTTCAAGCAACCAAAAACAGCAATTGTGCTGTTGTACGATATTGATCGTCGTTTGTTCTTTTCCATACTAAATTATGTAGGTATATACTTAATTAAATCAAATATTTACAATACAAAACGCACGTTTAAGCACGGCTAACTGCATAAAAAACAATTCAGACCGTTCGGTCGTCGTTGCGGCGCGGCGGCGCATTCGCGACTGGGTGCCCACCGAGAGCACATCGAATTCGAGTGGCGTAGGTATGACTCGCTTTCCGACCGTTTGTATGAAGATAGAATACTGTATGATATTATTACCGTGCCTATAGCTTGTTTCATGTCTCTAAAATAATGTTTCTCACTTTTATTTGGTTCGTGTTTACCTTTTTACCAAAACCCAACGATATCAAAAACCCTAGATACACCACGTGCGCTCAAAATATATCCTTATCAAGAAGTGCTTGAACTCAACTCAAGCACTTAGTTTTAAGTTTAGAGAATCACGCCAGAATTGAGACCAATGTTTGTTAATTTGACGCATTTTACGCATTTTTGTTTTAATACTTAATAGTAAGCATAGACTATTAGATGCTTAAGATGCGTAAGTATTATTAAAACAAGAGGCAGGCAGGTACGGACCGCGAGTAAAAGAGACGGCTATATTACCGACCATGCATTTGAATGTCACAAATATTTTCTAAATATTTTATATAAATATCCTCTATGTATGTAATAAGAGTTAAGGTAAAAACGGCTTTTACACTTGCCAATTTTTAGGGACCCTTACCCTGACTAAGGGTGGTGTAATATGAATGAAGGAAGGGCGATCAGCGTGGTAGGCTGGTTGACTCATGTCGAACTGTATTAAATAAATGTTTATTTCTTAAAGTAAGTCTTTGGTCTAAGAAACCTAAATTTATCGATTTCACTTCATAAAAGCAGAAGATTGCTGAAAAAATTTAAGTTTAAAAAATATTTTTTTAGTCTATATTTTTTAAACACTAAAAACGCTGTTCGCCACATCCGCCATGATTGTGACGTCTCTTAACGGTAAACAACTAAATGTCATTCGCGTGTTACTGTGGTGGATTCTTTCGTCTGACTAAATTTATCTTAAAACACTTTTAACTTTAGAAAAGTTTCCGATTACTGATTTTTTTTTTGAAAAAACTAATTATGAATGCCGGCTTTGTGAAAACAGAAAGCACAAATCTGCCAATATAGTTGGTGAATTTATTGCACTAAACCCCGATTTCTGCTCTGCGGAGCAGAAAAACGACAAGGCATCTATGTAAGTTGGACATGGGCGTTTTTGGTTTTGCACGCAAACGGATATTTATCGGATTTCAGATTTCAAAATCGATTTTAAAATCCGTTTTTAGATATCCGATTTCAGATGTGCCGAACTTAGCCTGTGTTATGATTTGGTTTTATTAGCTAACGACAATCACAAACAATTAATTGTAGGAAACAAGGATACTCGTAGATTTGCGCGATTTTCCTTCATGCTTTAAATCTAGGCTTAGGAGTAGCAGAAAAGTTATGTTTACGGTTAAAAATCGGCTTATATACAATGATTTCTTTATACATATTTTTTTAGTATTTTTTTTTATTTTTCTGTTTGTTTTTATTATTTTTCAAACCATTTACAAAATCAAACCTAATTAGGTCTTCAGGTTAGCGTTCAAAAATGTAAGTTAATCGACTTTTGATGTTTTTAGACGACATCTCTTTTCAGTGATAAATAATCCCGCCTTAGAGAACAGCAATAGATTTCCGTAAACAGCAAACCGAAATCGGACTTCCGAAAACGAAAGCACGAATTTATATATGGATACTTGTGGTGGTATTAGATCGCTAGCGTTTTGGTTCGGTTAGATTTCTGAAATCGGATTTTCTTGTTGATAAATCGTTCGGTATCGATTTGTGTTTGAAATCGGATTTTGGATTCGTTTTGATATATCAGACGCATGCCTAATGTAAGTACAGTGTACTTAGTATTATAATGCAGTAATAACTTAGACCATTAAACCACCATTAGTGGTTTAATGGTCTAAGAGTAATAAACATAACACTGATACAACATATGAGTTCGCTCACATTCGCCAACCGTAACACTTGTGCGCGCACAGCTAAAATAGTGAAAAAGCAACTACCTACATATACGTGATCTGTAAGAATGGTCTTGAAAAAGTGCAAAAATTGTAATAAAAACATTACGAAAAAGCAACCTGGACTTGAATGCAGTAGGTGTAATAAAATCGTACATGCGACTCCCGATTATGCAAAGATAAGTAATAAGCAGATTATTAAACTGCGCAATTCAAACGCGCTTGAATGGAACTGTAGTGAATGCTTAAGTAGCATCTCAAGACGTTCGTCATTCTTTGTTCCTGGGGATGAGTCTGACAGCGAAGATGATTTCTCCTCTGCCACCAAAATACCAGCCGCTATTATTAATGTAAAAAAGCTACTCGAGGATATGGGCCAAGAAATGCAGAGGATCATTCGGACCGAACTAGGAAACATCCACTCATCTTTGGAGTTTACTAGCGATCAGGTTAGTGCTATGGAACAAACTGTACAAAAACAGGAGAGTAAAATTAAATTACTTGAATATAAAAATACAGACCTTTTAAACAAAAATAAGAATCTCGAACTCCGTGTAGCCTCATTAGAACAACAGATACAGGAAATAGACTAAAAGTTTCTGATGAATTCACTCGAAATTACGGGTGTACCAGAATCGGCCTCCGATAAGAATGTACTACCGATTGTAAAAAAAATTGCTGAAAAGCTGGAAGTAGACCTAGAAGAAGTACAAGCAGCCAGGCGCTTACCAAGCCGCAAGGAACGGCCAGGGCCGATTGTGGTGGAGATGAAGACCAAAGCAGGTCGTGAGGAGTGGATTGCGGCAGGTAGAAAGCTTTGTATGACTGTTGGAGATATACTTAGCAACGCCCCACCGTCGAAGGCTCCAGACAAGATCTATATTCGTGAAACTCTCACCTTGTACACCAAAACACTACTCTACAATACTAAACAGGCTCTCCGTGATTCATTTCAGTTTATATGGTGCAAGGCAGGCAGGGTCTATGCCCGTAAATCTAGCGATAGTAAAATATACACGATCAGTTCCACCAATGATATTAATGCCTTGTCAAACAAAACAACGGATTAAAGCATCTAAAACTACAGGTATCTATCTACTGATTATTCTGTATAAAAAAACAATAAGGTACTAAGCTCGATTATATCTAAAAAAAAATCTTTCATATCCAATGAATAATAATATCACTCAAGTAAATGAGTTATTCAATTGTGTAACGGTTAATTCTTTTTTTGATAAAATTAAAAGCAAAAAAATTAATCTGGCATGTATTCACATTAACATACGATCAATTATTAAAAACTTTGCCAAACTACTGTATATTGTTCATTGTTCTATTCATCCTATTGATATATGTAATAATCGTTAGCGAAGTGGGTATATCAAATACATTGTGTCATTTATTTAATATTCCGGGCTATACGATGCACACACAGTTGCGCTCAAATAAAAAAGGCGGAGGAATTATCATTTACGTAAAAAGTTGTCTTAAATTCACTCAGCAATTCACAAAATCACATACATTCGAAAACATCACAGGAACAATCAAAACACTTTGCAACCAAACCGTAACTGTGTGTGCTGTATATAGACCACCATCCACAAACATGTCACTATTTGT